TTTCTGCTGATGCTGCGGTGGCGACGATTTCATACGACCTGGCGGGTGAATGGCTCACGATAATGTTGAGCAAACACTTGGAGAGACTGTGGTACTCAGGAGGGGGAGCGCTCCACCGACCGCGCCCACATATGCGGATAGAAGATGCCGTGCCCGCGGCAAGCAACGTGGTAGCTTGCAACACGGCTGAGGCTTGGCCACCCGAGGCCCCTTCTGGGATGGTTATGACAAGAGCACTTGCCACGATCGCTAGGGCATCAGACGCCATCAGGAGTGTCTGACACTAGTAACCACACACGCTTGTGTGAGGCAGTTATCAGGCTCGCCAAAAGGCAGGGATGGGAGAGAGCCCAATGCAAGCAACGGCGGCTTCGATGGGGCCCGTGGAAACACCGCGCTGATCTACGAGGACGGGAGAAATACGTGGGGTAAGCCGCACGAGGGAATTGCCGTGCTTGATCCACCCAACCCGCCAAATAACGGAGAGGAACTGGGAATGTCTGCATGCAGAATGGGCAGAATGGTGCGAGAGGACCGGGAGGAGGAGCGTGCACGACAAAAAGAGTGGTAGGGGTGTGAGAGATGCTTGTGAGATCTGGTCCGTGATGGAAACACCACGGCCGGTCGGCGCCAAAAGGAGGCAACCTCGGGACCTTGGACCCCTCGGAGGATAGTAGATGAGGAGGCAGGGGTGGCATGTTTTAGATCTATAGGCACCTATGTCGACGTAGTCCCGCCACCTGGGGCGGACGTTGTTAGTGGCATGTGGATCTACAAGATGAAGCGACCACCTCAAGCACCACCTGTCTTCAAGGCATGTTACGTGGCGAGAGACTTCAATTAGCTCGAGCGGGTAGACTTCTTCCATACCTTCTCCCCCACCCCGAACATAACCACTCTTCAAAGTTGAGCTGCAGCACTATCTTGGCCTGCAAGTCACTAGGGATAGAGCAATTCCCACCAATATGCTGTTGCAATCTCACATAATGCAGTTGCGCCTTCTATTCTGCTCGACACAGCCCACCCCTCTTGCTTTGGATCATATTCTCACGACTCCACCTTTGGACGAGTCATTTGAGCTTAGTGGTCCATACCTAGAGTTGGTGGGTTGTCTCATGTACTTGATGACATGTTCTTTCTCAGACCTCGCTTTCCCTCTCAACGTCCTGGCTTGCTTTGTTGCTCCTGGGAGACACCGACCTGCTCACTGGGTTGGTTGCTAGGAGGGTAGCGAACTACCTGGGAAGCACATCAGGAATTTAACTTATGCTTGGAAGACTCTAGCCATTTACGCCGACTGAAAACTCAGACTCGTCGTTCGCTGACTTTGGCAGAGACGCTGAAGTCTACACAGGGGTAGTGCATCGCCTTGGGACAAAAGCTATTTCAAGGTCGACTCGGGCATCGCCCGTTGCAAGATGTGGCTGTGAGGCAGAGATTTACGCAGAGGTCATGGCTGCATAGGAGCTTCGTTAGTTGTATTTCCTTTTCACCGACCTTGGTGAGCGGCCTCGCTTTCCCTGGTCTTTTTCGCAGACAAAACGTTTATGGTCCTGTTGTGCGAGGAGCCTGGATTGCTAGGAAGGCAAAGCATATCCAGCTTCTCTACTTTCTTCTGCGTGAGTTGCACCAGCGTGGCCAGGCACGCGTGTTTCGCATAGTGACGTGGGTCGGGATCGTGCATCCAACAGCTTCAAAGTATATTTTAAGCAAACTACGAATCAACAGAAGTGTCGCGGCTGTGTTTTCGCGCACACCGATTCGTTTCCTCGTCGTCCAGTCACTTCTCTTGGCTTTCGGGTTGGCATTCTTACGGCCACGCAACTCGCTTCGGTCGCGGAGCCTGTGCATACAACCAGTTCTTGTCGCGCAATCTGTTGCTGTCACGAGACCCAGCGCCCAACATTTGTTTTGTTTTGTTTTGTTTCATTTTGTTTTTGTTTGTTTGTTTGTTTGTTGTTGTTGTTTTTTTTTTTTAGGCCACAATAATAAAGACGGAGGTCACTACAGCAAACGATGGACAAATTTCCGCACTACGCGAGACATTTAGGCTGCTCGTAGATAAGTGCGTCATTGTTTACCTTAACGACATCATCGCTTACAGCCACGACAAGCAGCAGCACTTATCCGCTTTGGAAGCAGTATTTGAAATTATAGATAAGCATCGGCTGCTTACGAATGGTTCCAAGTGCGAGTTTCTTCAGATTTACCTTGAATCTCTTGGGCGCATCATATCGAAAGCTGGGGTTGAAATAGTCCTGGAAAAACAGGTTACCGTCGACGCATGTTACCCCCCGACAAACATCACGAAACTGTAGAGTTTTCTTAGGCTTGTTAATTATTTGTCCACGACATGGCACGGTTAACTACCCCACTGATAGACCTGATCCAGAAGGGGGTCGTTTTTACGTGGGGGGAGAAAGAGCGTGCTGCCTTCATTGCCTTTAAAAATGTTCTCTCTTCGCCTCCCGTGTTACACATCGCCGACCTAAACCGCCCATTCGAAGAGGTTGTCAACGCAATTAACATCACCATTGGAGCCGTAATGCTAAAGGATTTGGCAACGGCCTATAACCCATTGCATACGAGTCATGATCGTGCATGCGATCAAAGTGTGTCGCTGTTACTTGACCGTACATGATAGCATAGACCGATGAACAATCACTACAGTACCTCCACGCGCAACCCCACCTCAACCCATGACAGATCCGTTGGCTCGATTTTCTCGAGTCAAATTTTCGTTATACGGTCAGCTACAAAGGGGTGCTTCCAACATTGCCGATGCACCGACCCGCCCGACTGCCCAAGTACATTTGGTATTACTCGCCCAGATCAGTCCACTGCTCATGGGTCTATTCTCCCATGGCTACAAGACAGACTGGAGGCAGCGCATAACAGTTCACAGCAGCACGAGCGGTGTATGAAGCAAAAGCCGTCACCGATCGCATCAGGGTGCCGGGCTACACATTACTGAGGGATTTACTGCTACAAGAGGCACATAATAGAATGGCCTCGACATTTTGGGGTTGAAAAACCAAGACAATAATTGCAATAACACTATTACTGGCCCGAAATGCAGACCGACGTGCAGCGACACGTGGCATTGTGTCCCACATGTCAGCTCATAATGGCATCATGACAGCTACCAGCAGGACAGTTTCAGCTGATACCACCCTCAGAGCATGCTTGGCAGTACGTGACGATGAACTTCGTGACAGGGTTATCGGCCGGGGCGAGTGACATTGACGTGATCCTTGATGTCGTCGACCAGCTAACAAATATGGCCCATTTTACAGCTTGCAAGAAGTCCATCTCAACCGAAGAAACAGCCCGATTCTTCATTGCCACCGTCATCTGCCTACACGGGATACCCAAGGCGATCATCAACTGTCCTTTCACGACAAGCAACTTTTGGCAGAACCTGTGGCAGTATTTCGGCACATGACTATAGTTCAATTCATCATACCACCCCTAAACCGACGGTGTAACGGAGCAAACCAATCAGACCATGGAGAATTTAATCCGGCAACAACCCGGCCACTCATCAAGTTCGCATACAACAACTCCACGTCAGAAATTGTGCAATAGTCATCGTTGTACCTCAACTATGGACAAAAACCCACCGTACCCATGACATCGAACCTCGACAACCAGGTCCCATTATCATTTAATTTTACAAAATTTCGCATGCGGGCCGGACTTGAGGAGCAGCCGCCATCTTGAAAATATATATATCATCATCGATAAGCGCAACGCCAATCACGCGCAACTGTTCCTTATGACCGATGCCAAAGACAGTGTTTCCCTGTTCGTGCGGAGATTCACTCTACAATGGTAGTGAGCTAGACTACGGGGGTTGGCACGAACTACTAGGAGTGATCGTAGCTTTGCTTGGTTCCTTAGCACTTGCACATTCACGGGAGAAATTGGCAAGAGTTTCCACTGGCAAAGTTGGAATTACAGAATGATTGAACAAGCAATGACAGAATGACTACATCAGGCACCTAGCAACTCTACAGCTAGCCTGGTCGACTGCCAGCACAGCTCGGTCGACCGCCTGCCAGCGTTGCGTAGAGGAGCCGCGCCAGCACTGCAGAAGAGCGACCTGCCAACACTGCAGGTCGACGGCGTGCCAACGCTGCAGCAGAGCGGCTGTCCAGCGTTGCCCCGTAGAAGACAGCAGTGCGCACGCTCGCAGGTGCGCGCAGACGATTGGCCCGACTTGCATTGCTGTGCATCCGTCGGCTATTGTCTGCGCCTGACGAGCCACATCGACTTCGAGATACCAGCCCGCAGTCGTCTGCGCCATCGCGACCTCGACGACATTCGCGTCCCTCCACGGAACTCGTCGAGCAGGTTACCTGGTCGACCTGGACACCACCAGATGCTCCCGGTCGACCACCAGGTGCCTCCGGTCGACCACCAGGTGCCCCTGGTCGACCACAGCTCCCGTCGAGCTACCCCCTGGTCGACGGACCCCTTCCGTCGACCAGAACTGCTCCGTCAAACCTCCCGGTCGAGCTGCAGGTCAACAGGATGCTTCGCGGACCTCCCGGTCGAGCTGCAGGTCGACGGGATGCTCCGCAGACCTCCCCGTCGAGCTGTAGGTCGACGGGATGCTCCGTCGACCTCCCGGACGGCCCACCCGTCGCCCAGGCCAGTCCGTTGCAGCTGTCGAGCTCCCTGGTCGACAGCAACACCACAGCGGTCCCCTGCAGCTCGACGTAGCCTGTCGAGCAGCTCTCCCACTGTGAACGGTCGGCTGCTACTCCCGTACATCCGACCAAGTCGTCGGCGTTGCCCAAGCGAGGGCGGGGCCAACACTCCATTCCCGTTAAAGCGGCGGTATACATTTGGCAGGGCCTGTGCCAAAAGTTTATAAAAGGTACTTGGTCGTGACCGAGTTACAGGCCCACTCAACTTCTGTCACGAGCGACGGTTCCCAAGTGTTCCCAACTCCCCTCACAAGCCGAGGCCACTCAATTGTCGAAAGTTTATACATGCCAAAAGTATACTGAAGGAGTTGCCTCCTCGCACTAGCCCCAAGCATTCTCGCCGTGAACAATTATGAAAACTAGCTACCGGGAGCAATATTTGCCATTACGATCAAGCTTGATCTTACGCTTAGGTCATACGCCGTCCATACCATGGCTTAGGTTTTGCATCGCCTCGTAAGACTTCGCGCCGTAGACTCGCCTCAACGCCCGTCGCGGCGTCACCTCTCGGCAAATCCGCTCCCGGCGTCGCCTTGCCGCAAATACGCACGCGACGTCGCCTCGCCGCTAATACGCACGCGGCGTCGCCTCGCCTCAAATACGCACGCGGCGTCGCCTCGCCGCAAATACGCACGCGGCGTCGCCTCGCCGCAAATACGCACGCTTCGTCCCCTCGCCGCAAATATGCAGCGGCGACGCCTCGTCGCAAATCCGCTCGCAGCGTTGACTCGTCGCAACACGATGCCTCTTCACGCCACCGCGATCACGCTGGCCGTGCCACACGCTGCGGCCCTCGTGCTCCTCCCAATAAACCCTTTTCGCTGCCCCCCTTTACCGCCTCCCGATCTCCCTTTACCGCCTCCCGATCTCCCTTTACCGCCTCCCGATCTCCCTTTACCGCCTCCCGATCTCCCTTTACCGCCTCCCGATCTCCCTTCCCGTCGCCCCATTTCCGTTCTCGCCGCCCCATTCCCCTTTCCGCCGCCCCTTTGACCTTCCCGCCGCCGAATTCCCCTTCCCGCCGCCCAATTCCCCTTTTTTCTCCGCCCAAAGAACCCATTCCTGCCGCCCATTCTCCCCTTCCCGCCTCTCATTCAACTCCTCCCGCCTCCCTTTCCCCCATTCCCGCATCCCGTTCCCCCCCCCCTTCCCGCCTCCCATTCTCCCCTTCTTGCCTCCCATTCTCCCCTTCTTACCTCCCATTCTCCCCTTCCTGCCTCCCTTCTTTCCCTTATCTCCCATCCCTCCCTTCCCTCCCTTCCCTCCCTTCTCTCCCTTCCCTCCCTTCCCTCCCTTCTCCCCCGTCCCTCCCTTCTCCCCCGTCCCTCCCTTCTCTCCCTTCCCTCCCTTTTCTCCCTTCCCTCCTTTCTCTCCCTTCCCTCCCTTCTCTCCCTTCCCTCCCTTCTCTCCCTTCCCTCCCTTCTCTCCCTTCCCTCCCTTCTCCCCCGTCCCTCCCTTCTCCCCCGTCCCTCCCTTCTCTCCCTTCCCTCCCTTTTCTCCCTTCCCTCCTTTCTCTCCCTTCCCTCCCTTCTCTCCCTTCCCTCCCTTCTCTCCCTTCCCTCCCTTCTCTCCCTTCCCTCCCTTCTCCCCCGTCCCTCCCTTCTACCCCGTCCCTCCCTTCTCTCCCTTCCCTCCCTTTTCTCCCTTCCCTCCTTTCTCTCCCTTCCCTCCCTTCTCTCTCTTCCCTCCCTTTTCTCCCTTTCCTCCCTTCTCTCCCTTCACTCACTTCTCTCCCTTCACTCACTTCTCTCCCTTCCCTCCCTTCTCTCCCTTCCCTCCCTTCTCTCCCTTCCCTCCCTTTTCTCCCTCCTTTCTTCTCTTCCGCGCCGTGCATTCCCATTGTCCCCTGCCTGCCTCACAATCTATCCTTCCAGCCTCGCCCTTGTCGTCCTGCCTGTCATTCCATCTCCCCTCCCTGCATACCCCTCTCTTCCTGTCCTCCCTTCTCTGCGCCTCTCCCCCTCACTGTGCCCCCTGCTATACTATTCCCTCTTGTTACCTTTCCTGCCACCCCTCCGAAGCTGAAAGCGATCTCAAAGTGCTTTTCCTCACATGCCTTCCAAAGCCTCCTTCTCCCCCTGAGTTCCCTCCTCCCCCTCGACCTGATTCCTCTCGACTTCTTCCTGATTCCCCTCATTTTCGTCCTGATTCCCCTCATTTTCGTCCTGATTCTCCTCATTTTCTTCCTGATTCCCCTCATTTTCGTCCTGATTCCCCTCATTTTCGTCCTGATTCTCCTCATTTTCTTCCTGATTCCCCTCATTTTCTTCCTGATTCCCCTCATTTTCTTCCTGATTCCCCTCATTTTCTTCCTGATTCCCCTCATTTTCTTCCTGATTCCCCTCATTTTCTTCCTGATTCCCCTCATTTTCTTCCTGATTCCCCTCATTTTCTTCCTGATTCCCCTCATTTTCTTCCTGATTCCCCTCATTTTCTCCCTGGTTCCCCTCATTTTCACCCTGACTCCCCTCTTCTTCATCCTAATTCCCATCATTTTCTCCATGATTCCTCTCATCACAGCTTGTGGTTGAACCATTACCCTTATTTCCTGCCCTCGAATTCTTTCCCCTTCCCTGACTACTATTTCAGTGACTGACTGCTCTGAAGATTTCAAGCTTCAACACGCCTCACCCAATCATCTCATGTCTACCGCAGCTAATATTTGTTGCCAAAGGCATAGAGAAAGGGTCAATAGTACGGTACCTTGCTTGCTCCTCTTGGCCTTTGCCTATAGTCTAAAGTTATGTGAGAACATGTTTCTTTCTACCTGTAAGGGATGTGACACCTGTCCATGCATTGCACTGCTGAATCATGGTAGTACATAGTAAGCTTCATGACACATCTTTCTAGGAATAACTCACTACCATACTTGCATCACAATGCACACGAGACAGAACATAAGTGGTGACAAACCATCCACTAGCTACGCCTCTGCTTGTAATTGCTGCCCTCTGTATCAACACAGCCAATTAGCAGAGTAGGCAAAAACGAACCAGTAATGCTCCAGGGAAGGTGCTGTGAGGCAGAAGAGAAGCAACAAAGGAATTCAAGCACGTGATGGCACTACATGCACAGGAACTAGATTGTAGACAGTGACGAGTAAGTGAGGGGGGAGGGGAGGGCATGCAAGGGAAGGGAAGGGAGAAGGGATGGGAAAGGGAAGGGAACCCCAACCGGACCACGAACTCGTCGCGGTGTAACGCACTGCTTCACACGCACTCGCAACAGCGCAGTAGTGCTGGCCACCAGGCAACGACACGGGAGGGAAGATGCGAAGGCAGGGAGAGCGGTGATGGGAAGGGGGGGATGGGAGATTGGAAGGCAGGGTTGCGTGTGAAAAGATGAGAGCAAGTGGGAGGAGCAGAAAGACAGGTAAGTTGTGGGGCAATGGTGGGAGAGGAGGGTTGACGGTTGAAACTCGGCTCTGTCTGCGAGCAAGGGAGTGTGGGTGCACGGCAGCAGTTTGTGTGTGCATAGGTGTGCACAGCAGCACAGTAGCGCCATAACACCCACCTGAACAGTCAGGTCTCGAGTGGGCAACACAATGACCGCTCTGACTTGTCGCACCACGTGCCGCACCAGGGCCTGCATCACTGGCTGCACACACGCCCTGCTAGTGACTGCACCAATGGCAGTGCATACGATAGGGTAGCAGGGGGAAAACAAACCAGAAAGGAGGGGAGAAACAGAGTATAAGCTGGAGGGGAAGGAACATGGGGGAGGAGGGCTAGCACGGGTGAAAGGAAATGGTAAGCAAAGGTGGACTCTAATGAAGAGCAGGGGGGGAATTAGGAAAAGGAGGGTGGAAAAATAGGGGAAGCAAAACGGAAAAATGATGAGAAGCAAGGGAGCGAAGGCGGGACAGAGAGGAAGAGGGGAAGTGCGGAAGAGAGGAAGGGGGCAAGGGAGGAGATTGGTCGAGGTAGGGAACAGGGGGCTAGAAGAAGATTGGATGAGAGAGGAGATGGAAGGGAGGAGAAATGACGAGGAGGAGAGAAAAGGGAGGAGGTTGGACGGGGGAGGAGAGGGAAGGGAGGAAAATGGACGAGTGAGGGAAGAAAATGGATACGGAAGGAGAGTGAAGGTAGGAGAGGGGATGGAGAGGAAAGCGGGCAAGCAGAGGGGGGAAGTGAGGGAGGGAAAGGAGGGGATGCTGTGGGGGGGAGGACAGGAGGGGATGCAGGGAGGGGAAGGAGGGGATGCAGGGGGGGAAATGAGGGGATGCTGTGGGGGGGGGGGACAGGAGGGGATGCAGGGAGGGAAAGGAGGGGAAGCAGGGAGGGAAAGGGGGGGATGCGTGGGGGGAAAGGAGGGGAAGCAGGGGCGGAAATGAGGGGATGCGTGGGGGGAAAGGAGGGGAAGCAGGGGCGGAAATGAGGGGATGCGTGGGGGGAAAGGAGGGGAAGCAGGGGCGGAAATGAGGGGATGCGTGGGGGGAAAGGAGGGGAAGCAGGGGCGGAAATGAGGGGATGCGTGGGGGGAAAGGAGGGGAAGCAGGGGCGGAAATGAGGGGATGCGTGGGGGGAAAGGAGGGGAAGCAGGGGCGGAAATGAGGGGATGCGTGGGGGGAAAGGAGGGGAAGCAGGGGCGGAAATGAGGGGATGCGTGGGGGGAAAGGAGGGGAAGCAGGGGCGGAAATGAGGGGATGCGTGGGGGGAAAGGAGGGGAAGCAGGGGCGGAAATGAGGGGATGCGTGGGGGGAAAGGAGGGGAAGCAGGGGCGGAAATGAGGGGATGCGTGGGGGGAAAGGAGGGGAAGCAGGGGCGGAAATGAGGGGATGCGTGGGGGGAAAGGAGGGGAAGCAGGGGCGGAAATGAGGGGATGCGTGGGGGGAAAGGAGGGGAAGCAGGGGCGGAAATGAGGGGATGCGTGGGGGGAAAGGAGGGGAAGCAGGGGCGGAAATGAGGGGATGCGTGGGGGGAAAGGAGGGGAAGCAGGGGCGGAAATGAGGGGATGCGTGGGGGGAAAGGAGGGGAAGCAGGGGCGGAAATGAGGGGATGCGTGGGGGGAAAGGAGGGGAAGCAGGGGCGGAAATGAGGGGATGCGTGGGGGGAAAGGAGGGGAAGCAGGGGCGGAAATGAGGGGATGCGTGGGGGGAAAGGAGGGGAAGCAGGGGCGGAAATGAGGGGATGCGTGGGGGGAAAGGAGGGGAAGCAGGGGCGGAAATGAGGGGATTCCTGGGGGTAAATCCGTGAGGCGAGCAGCGCGTTACTGGTGGCTGCAGTAGGATGGCTGGCACGCGCGCGCTTCTGGACTGAATTTCGATGGAGCGCGCGTGCTTGCAACCGCGTGCTGTTTGCTGGGCATCTAAGCGTCACATGCGCTCGCTGTGCTGGCGCGCCGCGCGGTATGCAGGCCTAAACCGTATTTTTTGCGGCGCGCGTCTTGCTGGCAAGCTTCGCTCTGCTGAGCGCGCTATGCTAGCGCGCGGACGGAATGCCAGCATAGCGCGCGCAAGTGCCGCGCGCGGATGCCAGCACAGCGCGCGCAAGTGTTGCGCGCGGAATGATAGCGTAACTGGCGCAAGTCCCGCTCACGGAATGCCATCATAGCTGGCGCCAGTGACGCGCGCGGAATGACACGACGCACACGGAGTGCCACCATCGCTGGCGCTAGTGACGCTCGCAGGCGTCGCCTGTTCTGCAAATGGCTAAATACTCACCCGCGTCTATGTATGTGGTCGCGCTGCTGGCCTAGCACCCTCCGGCCTGCTGTACCTAAACTAGTAGCTACTAGATGCGTATTCTCCGTAGTGTGATGTAGAAGGCAAGTTCGGTGACGGGAGTTTTTTCCCATTTTGTGACCCACAACCTACCCAACCCTGTTCCCCTTACAACTGAAGCGCTCCAGTTTTTCGCCAACACTCTCGCTATTCTGTTTACATTTTCGTTGAGGCGAAATCGCCTGGCACACTGTGCAGAAACAACAGTGCTGCCAAATGTAGACTCCTGCTTTAACACTCCCCTGCCGCGCTCACGCTTGGGCCTCTGGCCCATTCGACAGTACCCTACGGAGAAAACTCGTCCTCGGCGTGCACCCCACACACAGCACGCCGTCACCGCACCAGCCGTGCAGAAGGGCACGGCACCTACTACTGCACATCAACATCTCCGTCGCCGACGTTGGCCAGACGCACTTGGCCGATCGCGACGGAGCACCGGTTGAAGGCCGGAAAATGCAGCGCCTTCGTCATGAAGTCTGCCGGCTGCTCGGTGGTCGGGATGTACTTCAGCTCGAACTTCCCGCGCCTCACCATGTGCTGCAGCCAGGCGTAGCGTCGCTCCATGTGCTTGAGGTTGCCTGTCAGCCCTAAGCCCGCAGCGACCGTGATTGCCGACTTGTTGTCGACGCGGAGGATGGTCGGCTTCCCAGCGTCGAGCAGCTTGAATTCCGCAAGAAGGAAACGAAGTCGGCGTCCCTCCTTGCCTGCATCCGTGGCCGCCACGTACTCCGACTCGGTCGATGACAGTGTCGCGCACTTGATGCGCGAGCTCGACCAGGAGACAGCGGCCCCTCCGTAGACGAACACGTAGCCGCCCGTGCTCATCCGGTTCTGCTTGTCGCCCGCGTCGTCGGCATCCACATAGCCGATCAGTTCCAGCGACTCTGGTCCACCACCGAACTCCAAGGCGGCGTCGCGGGTGTCGGCGAGGTAGGAGAGGTAGCGGTCGACCTCGCGCCAATGCTGGTCGCTCCTCACCGTGAGGCCGCTCCCCAGCTTGCTGCAGGCGAACGCGATGTCCGGCCTCGTCGTCGTCGCCGCGAACTGCAACGAGCCGACCTTCTGCCGGTACTCCTCCTCCTCGCGCTCCTGCGCCTCCTCGTCGTCGAACGTCAGCTCGGCGTAGGCGTCGACCGAGACCGGCGTCTTCGGGATGCGCCCGCCTTGCTCCTCGTCGATGAAGCGCCTACGCAGCTTGTCGGCGTAGTTCTGTTGGTGCAGCCACAGCTTCCTCGCCGGCCTGTCGCGGACGATCTCCAGCCCAAGGTACTTCACCACCGGCGAGATCTCCCGCAGCTCGAAGGCGGACTCCAGCAGCTCCTTCAGCTCCTTCAGCATCGCGGTGCTGCTGCTGGCGGCGAGCAGGTCGTCGACGTAGACCAGCACCCAGCAGGTCTCTCCGTCGGCGTCGGACTTGAAGTAGAGGGCCTTGTCGACCTGGCTCTTCTTCCAGCCAGCTCCCAGCAGCACTCCGTAGAGAGCCCTATACCACAGCAGCGGCGACTGCTTCAGCCCGTAGAGGCTCTTCAGCAGCTTACACACCCGGCCGGTCCCATCGTCGAAGTAGTCCGGCTGGTACATGTAGAGCACCCTGTCGAGCTTGCTCTGCAGGAAAGCGTTCTTCATGTCGAGCTGCATCAGGTTGAGGTCGAGGACGGCGACGATGCTGAGGAAGATCCTCAGCGTGACGTAGCTGCTCACCGGCGAGTACGTCTCGTCGTAGTCGGCGCCGTACACCTGCGTGAAGCCTTTCACGACCAGCCTCGCCTTCTCGCGCTTGACGGTGTCGTCGATGCGGTACTTGGTCGT